TTAAGTGTCTACAAATTAATTTTTAAAAAAATTGTTCTTAGTGAGCTATACTTTTTCAATTTAATTATTTTTTTCCCAGTTGCTTAATTCATCTATTTAACATTACTTTAAATTGACCAGCAATAGGCTCTATCATGGACAGGGGACGCTGGCATTTCTTCCTAGTTGTGGAGAAGGTTCCAGTGCTAGAGTTTTAGCACAACCTTCAGAACCTGTGCAAGCTAAAACCAAGGCTGACTTAGACAGAGACGATGAACACACCCTGGACCAGGGCTTCAGTGTTAAATGTGTTCTAGCTGTTCTTGCCTGAAGCAATTCCTCACAATGGTGTGTAGACAAGAACACTTTTACGCTTTTAGGGAGTAACCCCAGTTCTCTAAACAGACCTGGCTGCACATCAATCAGAACCCAAACTGAGAGATAGCTCTTAGGACAGTGTGCTTTTTTTGGGGAGGGGGGGAGGGACACCTCATCCTATGCCAACTGATTACAGTACACAGTGAACTTTACTTACCTTATTTTTATTCTGTCTTGTTTCTGTGGAAGAGCCTTAGAGTTAGGCCATTCTGTTTACGTTTTAGGAAGACCAGTGATCACATAAACACCCCGACTTGACTTCTGAGGGTTCAAGAGCTGACCTGTGCTCTAACGTAGTGCAGGGCCCTCAGCAGTTAGGGTCTTCCAGCTGACATCCATCCAGCTTCATTTTCAGTCCCGGGTTTTTCCTTGCCTGAGCTGCTCTAGAGTGCATAGAATATGCACACACGCCTATCCAGTAGTGGTGATCTATCCTTTGTAGAAAAGTATCTTTATTAGCAACTTCCGGTTTCTAATTCTATGTTAGTTTTGTCCCCATAAGATGTTGGGATTCTTGAAAACTGACTAGTGAGGCGTCCTTTGAAAGTGTGTGCTCTGCTTGGATTTTCTTCTTCCTTTGCTAATTCAGAGTGCTGGCCTCTCTTCTGCAGCCAGTGACTTCACTGGCTCCCAGGAAGCTCTCAGCCTTGCTGCTAAGATACCTGTTCCTCCTGGGCCCTGACCAACAGCACACAGTGTACTCTCGAGCTCCCTCACAGCCCAGGCCCCTAAGATACGGTGAATTGTATAACTCTCCCCCTCTCTGGTTTGTTTCAGGGAAGCTGACAGGTCTGTATGGGAAACCCTGCCAAGAGGTGCACTGAAAGAAACAACCCCACGGCCTCCTCCAAGGTCTGTGAGGTCCTGATCGTTAATCTCCGCGACACTCCCAGGGAAGAGACAGTGGGCAGGTTCTCTCAAGCCAGCTGTTTGCAGATGAGGGGATGGGGCAGATCAACGGGGCAGGCCCGAGTTGTGCAGTGTGGCGGAGAGCCTATGAGTCTGAGGGGAGAAAAACCTAAAACGCCTGAGGCTCCTGCCACTTGCAAACCCCATTCTGGAAACTTCCACGCAGGCTGCAGCCTGCACAAAGGCGGGCTTAGCTTTGGCGGGACTGTTCAGCTTTTCACAGACTGGTATTCATACATAGTCATCTTTGCACTCCTTCTGCTTGGCACAGCACAAGAAGCTGGATGAATTTCAGTTCCCCCTGACCCCCCCCCCAAAAAAAAGAGGGTTTGAGAGGTCCCAGCTATAGCTCTTCTCTTGCAGAAAAGTTCTAACCACATACCATGACATTCTTCTCTAGGCCAATATGGACTGTTTGCTTGGCTTCCCAGGGCCCTCATCCTCACAGAAGCTTAGTGTAGGGACCAAAGAGATGGTGGCTGACACCAGCTTAGCGCACACAAATGACATGGTTCTGCTTCCACCTTTGAATTTCCTTTGTTTTTAGTATTGTTTCTGTTTCTAGATTTGAGACAGAATTTCAGTCTGCAGCCCAGGCTACCCTGGAACTGACTATAGAGCCCAGGCTGTCCTTGAATTCTCCATCCTTTTGCCTCAGTCACCCCAACGCAGGGATCACAGGTGTGCACTGCCAGATCTGGCTGGTTTTTGTCTTTTCATCATTCATTACCTTCCCTGAAAAGTGACTTGCCTGCACACAGGGCTTAGTAAGCGCTATTGAATAGAGCAGATGAGGGGATGGGGCAGATCAACGGGGCAGGCCCGAGTTGTGCAGTGTGGCGGAGAGCCTATGAGTCTGAGGGGAGAAAAACCTAAAACGCCTGAGGCTCCTGCCACTTGCAAACCCCATTCTGGAAACTTCCACGCAGGCTGCAGCCTGCACAAAGGCGGGCTTAGCTTTGGCGGGACTGTTCAGCTTTTCACAGACTGGTATTCATACATAGACATCCCCTCCTACAATATGCTCTACCGCGTGAAGAGCAACATCCACGATGCAATCGTGGATGGAAGGAACAAAGATGAGAGAAAGAAAAGAAACCAAGTTATCAAAACAGAGGCATTGGTAAGAAAATAAAAATGAAGGGCTGGAGAGGTGGCTCAGAGATTAAGAGCACTGATTGTTCTTCCAGAGGTACTGAGTTCAAGTCCCAGCAACCACGTGGTGGCTCACAACCATCTGTTATGAGATCTAGTGCCCACTATTGGCCTATAGGATATATGTAGGCAGAATACTGTATACATAATAAATAAATAAATCTTAAAAAAAAGAAAAAATGAAAACTGCTTTCTGCCGCCTGGTTCTCTTCCTTCCAAGATGGCATCCAACACCTCTATGGCACAGTTTAAGTCCACCCTGCCTGTTATACACTCCAGGATGGGTTCGTTTTTCATGTGTTTTTCAAGGTCTCACCTTAAGAACCCAAAAAAACCTGCTGCAAATAAGATCCTATATATCCAGAAAGCAAAACCAAAAACTGAAACTCTGTCTGTACAATGAATAACTTTTGCTAAAGATGATGCCCAGAGAGCTCTCAAGACTTGTTCTACAGGGCTCCCTTCATCTTAATACCCAAGGAGATGGACACCTGCAACTCCCCAGGGTACAGACGAGAAAACTCGGTTTTAGAATGTTAGCTGGGACCACTCACCTATAAACCGTATCCTGAGTTCAAATCCAGGTAGTGATCCCATGAAAGTCACTCTCAAGTTCCGAAGGATGTGAGAGCATCCACTGAGTGAATGGCCAGCTGAAACTGCACTTGTGTCTGTGAGTGAGTGGCACCGCTGGATTTTACTGTCCAGGGTGTTTTATGCTCTTCATCTCCCCCCACCTTTTTGGCTTTGGAACCTGTCCTGAAACTCACTCTGTAGACACAGAGATCCACCCGCCTCTGCCTCCCGAGTGCTGGGGTTAAAGGCATGCACCACCACCACCCAGCTCATATTCTTCATGTCTATGAATGGCTTATAGGGGGAAGAACATCTGGCTAAAGCATGGAGCAAGATGTGTAGGGTTGGGATTGTGAAGATCAAATAAAAACATGACCATAGAAGACTTCTGAGGAATACAAAGTATCCAACAGAGGAGTAAGGATGTCCCTCCTGTAAAAATGGCAGTGTAGGTGCAATGTGTAACATTTCTCAGTAGCCCAGACTACTATGTAACTCAAAATACCTATTCACCTAGCCAAAGGGCACACCTGTAGCTTGTGAATGAGTTACCTTCTCAGGCCTGACCCACAGAACTGATCAATATTAGTGATTCCACATTTAACTCCTCACTTTTCTGACTTATTTTTGGGCCACGGCTTTCTTGGTTTTGTGGTTCACGGTTTGGTTATGACTTCGTCTGTGGTAAGAACTGATGGTGTTGTGGTAAACAGGGCAGCATGCACTAGCAGGTGGTGGCCCTGTGGTTTGCAGGCTTCCAGGCAGTGTCAGGTGATTTCCCTGATCGCCAAAAGACACACGGATCCAGCTGTCTTCAGTGATTTCCCTCAAGGTATTTTCAGTGCTGACGCTGAGTTCTGTAAGGTTAGAAAAGCAGACTAACATCTTGGCAGGCAGACAGGGAACGAGGCCATAGGTAAACAAGCAGATGGCAAACTCCCTGCTTCTTCATCACCTTCTTCATCATCAGGAAGGCCCTGCCCCCAACCAGGTGCACCCCCGTTCTGACTGACCTGGGTATCTCTCAGTTTGCACGAAGCCATAAGCCGGTCAACCACTCCTTCTTTTAAAATGACCAGTTGGAAATCATGGGAGGAAGACCAAGACCACCCCCCCCACCAGCCTCTCCCTAACCCCACCGCTTGGAGCCAGTCTGAGAATCTGCACTTGTGGGGAGTCGCCCCTCTGTGGGTGCGTGAGTACGTCTTCAGTTTTAATAACGCTTGCTGCCTGCGCCAGAGATTCTTCCTGCCTTTTCATTCCTTGATTAACAGAGAAAACAAATGTAGTCAAGATCCCTATAGTTAGAGACAAGCTGCTGAGTTCAAAGCTCTTGGAAGCCTCAGCTTCACTTGTCCTGAACTGCACTTACCAGGAAAATCACAGTAAGGGCTATGGTCGAACGAAATGACCGAATTTCCTCTAAAAGAGGTTGGATGAAAATTGGCCACACTTTCTTGGTTGGACTATTTCACGTTTGAAAGGGCGATATAGGAGACACCCTGTAGCCGCTGCCCACTCTCTCATAGTCTAAAAGAAAACCGGGATAGAAGAAAAGCACGCAAGAAGGCCCTCATGGGCGAAAGGCAAACATTGGCTTGACCCTTCGCTATGGAAGTTAACTGACAACAGGAAGGAAGCTATTAACCCCGCTCCTCTCCTCCTCTCGCCCTGGTGACAGCCAACAACTCCTCCTCCCAGGCTGAGACCTTGGATCAAAAAATGCAAAGGAGCGCCTAGCTGCCTCGTCTCTGCGCTTCTCCCCGGGGGAGGAAGACGCGAGAGAGGAGAGCGCAGCCTGAAGCCAAGTTCAGTTAGTTTGTGAGCCTGAACGTCCAGAAGACTCCCAGGGCTCCAGCATCCTCCCGCTGGCCGCGCAAGGCAGGCACCCCTTTGACAAGCTTGATTCTCCCCTTTTCTCTGCCCAAGTTTGACTGCGGCCCCGCAGGTGGTGCAAACGCCCCAGCTCTCCGGCGCCCCCTGCTGGCGAGAGGGAAGGCGGCCGCGGCCGCGGAGCCTCTGGGCACAGCGCTGGGAGAGAGCTCGGGTGCCGAGAAGAAGCCGCGAGCTTCCCCGATGGTGCCGCCGCCTCCTCCGTGCCGGGGAGGAGCAGCCAAGGGGCAGCTGGGCAAGAGCCTGGGGCCGCTGCTGCTACTCCTGGCGCTGGGACACACGTGGACCTACCGAGAGGAGCCAGAGGACCGCGACAGGTAAGGGCCACCTGCCCCAGCGGAGGTCGCGCTGGGTGCACTCAGGGCTAGCTGGTGGGGGGCAGAATGTCCCAGGTGGCCGCCCCACAGGTCCCAGCTCTCTGGGCCCAGCAGGGTGTTTAGATGACCCAGGTGACTTCCATCTCTTGCGGGAACCGCCTCGATTCTCCCAGCTGTGGATCAGGACACTGGATACCGTCCCCACGACTTTCCCGCCGCGCTGCGGTGCTGACTTCTTTGGCTTTTCTAGTCACCGTGGACTGGGGTCGCCCGGTTCTGGGAATCTCTCGTGGCTCGTTCCGGCTGCTGAGTCCGCCGGGGAGGACCAGTAGCAGCCGGTGCGTCTGGTCGCAGAGCCCAGCGCGCACTGCTCTCCACTTTCCCTCTGACCTTCAACGGAGTTTCCTTTCCAACTTTTTCCCCCCACAGAGAAGTGTGCTCGGAAAACAAGATCGCAACGACCAAATACCCCTGTCTGAAGTCTTCGGGCGAGCTCACCACGTGCTTCAGGTAAAGCTGGGGCCCTGCGGAGTCCGGAGGGACAGGCTCCGCTGTCAAGCAGGGCTTTGGAGTCCCGCTGGTGGAGCCGGGGCTGTGTCTGTGCCCGGGAGGGGGTGGTGTAGGGTGCTGAGCTTCTCGGTGCCAACGGCTGTGTTCATGGGCTCCGAGCAAAGCCGAGCAACTGAGTTTGCAACCAGTGTGTTTGGGAAGATCTGAGAACATGTACGCTTCCGCGAAAAACGTGCGTGGTAGAGGTTGGAGCGGAAAAGTTTTGCCAGTTGATGAGAATGGATTGGATTGTGAGTGTAAACTGAACGGAGAGGAATGGCTTCCTTCTCATTTGTGTTTTGTTTTGAAAATACAGCCTGCAACAAGGAAACATTTGGCACTTGGCTTGCTTTTGACCTTGTGTTGGGACAGAGTGTACCACTGTCACGGCCTCTGTGGGCAAAGTCGTGGCGGGGAGGATTGTGGGTAGATGGGATGGTTGCCTTGCGTGAAAACAAACGTCAAGATTGTTGAGGCTCAAGAAAAGCAACGATCTTTAAGGAAACAATGCTCTATGACCCTATTCGGGGTGGGGGTGGGGGGTAGGGGGAGACTAGCAGCCACTTGGGTTCTTGTTAAAATGAAGCACACATAGGGCCAGGGAATATCGTTTGAAAGTGCTTCTCAGGTGATTCCCAGTGCAACCAGGGAAGGAGAACAGGTGGCTCCTGTCCCCAAAGGAGAGGACCCAGGTTCCCTGCTTGAAGCCTTTTGGAACTAACAAGTGACTTGGGTTTTGAATTATGGAATTCTTGCCTTCCGTTCCTGTCTCCCACAGGGGAGAGGTGGTACATATCCCTAAACGTTTATTGTTCGATTTTTAAAAGACGCTATGCAAGGCACTGGGTTAACACACTTATATCAGCCTGAGAAACAACTTGGGTAGCACAAAATAAAGCAAATCCCAGAAATGAACCCGAGGAAGAGTTTGCCTTCGCTATCCTGTGGCCAACCAACTAATCCCAGAGCGTTCTACGAGGGAAACTTTCTCCCATACAGCCAAGGCTCAGGCGAGAAGTGTTCCCTTCCAGGGGCAGGTCAGCTGGGTTACCTAGAAGTGGGCCCCAGCTGTATTGTGCGTTCGGATCAGCTATTGGCAACAAGGATAGACTGATGTCAGCTGCCTCACCTAGGTGAGCTCCAGAAGGGGCTGCCTGCTTCTGCACGAAGTGGTTAGGAGAGGGGTAGCCTAGAGGGGAGGAGCATGTTTAATGGACAGGCAGAGACCTCGAGGGGGCGGACTGGGTGAGCAAGGTCATCCAGCTGGTGAAATGGCTCCGTAGTCCCGGCTGCAGGATTGCTTCCCTCGTTCCAGTCCTGTGTTTCATCCACGTGACCACAGTATTTCCTACAACATGTTGTTTTCCTATCACGGCTGTATGAAGCTTCTAATTTAACATGGACTGTGTTCCTGACATGGTTTGCTCATTTGCTCGGTCCCTAAAGGTCAGACGTCACATAAATCAGTGACAGTTTCAGAGCTCATGTCAGGCTGTCAGAAACCATCAGTGCCTGATTATTCTATTTGTTACGCTCTTTTTTGCCAACTTTTCCAGATTTCTTGAAGTGGTGTGGTATTTCGCTTACCCTATCTCATTCGGAGGCATTTGCAGTCTATCTTGGCACTAACCAGCTACCCAGTGAGACAGCCTGTTGGGCCTACAGCTCTATCAAGGAAAAGGGTAAAGAATTTAAATCTGTGTGATGGGAAGGGCTGTTTTAGCTTTAGAAAGTGACATCAGTACACTAAAAGCATTGTTGTTTTAGTTTTTTTGAGACAGGGCCTCATTTATAGTCCAGTTTAGTCTTGAACTCAAGATCTTATTGCCCATCCAACGTGCTGGGATTGAGATATAACCCCCTATACTATGCCTAGGCTGGTACAGTTTACAAATGTATTCATTTCTTTATGGAAGTCAAGAGTTCTATGCATGTTCTGTTAGCCTCATACTGTTTTTATTTTGTTTTGCTGTTGGAGACAGAGTTTCTCTCTCTCTGTAACCCAGGCTGGCTTCTGACTTCAAACTCACACTTTTCTCCTCTTCCAGCCTCCCTGGGGTCTGCACCACTACAGCCAGACAGTTTGATAAAGTCAGTTGATGATTGTCTCATTGGTTCTTGAGATTAAAGAATGACAGAATTCTGGGAGACTCTGGTGAGGCCCTGGAGTTCCTTTCTGTTTCAAGTGCTGCTCACCAACTCTCATGACATGGCCGGGCATTGTGTAGACTACCAGAGCCTTCTGGGAGCCCCTCAACTGGATCTATGTCTTAATGAGATGTGCCTTCAAGTCTGAGGAATACCACATAAAATCCATTGTCTTCAAACCCAGGCATGCTGCAAACCCTTTTGCTAGATCCCCAGAAGCGTGGAGGCCTCTGTAGTTGAGCAAGTCGCTTTCAGCACATCTTCCTAGAAGGAGAGTCCCCACCAGCCCACGGGGAAGGCACATTTCTCAGGGGGTTCTCTCAAGCTATCGACTGTGGCACCTGTCAGGGAAAAGGCCTCAGAGCTGGGAAAATACCACAGTCTCCCAGACGGCTAGAGAATCATTTTTAGCACATGAAAGGATTCAGAAGTTGCTGAAGGGATTTTTTTTCAAAAGGTCATTGTTGGCATAGATTCGAATATATGTAAACCAAACTGAGGCGTGAGATAAATCAGACTCGTCACTGCAAAATTTAGAGAGGAGGTGGGTTCAGAGTAGTTTTTGTTCTTGACACCCTTGTGTTTTAGAAGGTCACCTAAGTAGCGCTTCTTTAGTTTTCTGCACTTGATGTCAGATATTGAATAACAATAGTTTGAAGACTTACTTTAGATTTGGCATGGCTCTGGGAACTTTGTTTACATTGTCTCTGATGCATAGAGCCACCTGGAACATTTCTATTATCTCAGTTTTGCTAAGTGGGAACAAAATAATCAGAGGGGTTGAACGTGCCCTGCCCACGCTCTCACAGCTAACACACACATGCGCCAGGATTTGAACCAAGGTTTATCTGACTTCTAAACCCTGGACTCTTCTTTATCTCAGAAAATTCTGCCAGTTGGTGAGCTTTAGATTCAGGGGTGGGAAAAGGAAGACAAAACTCAGATGGCTGGACATTTCAGACAGTTCCGGAGAACACCGAGACCCACAGTGACCTGGTCATCCTTTGCCTTTGGAGTCTGTTTCAGACAGTTGGATTGAAATGATCACATTATATACAACACGGGTTCATGTATGTACAGCTTTCCTTCCTTATCACAATCTTGGGTCCATGTCTCTAGAATCTGTGCTGCCATGTGCATGCTGCCAAGTTCCCAAAGCTGAAACACTGTTTGCAGGAGTACCAGTGGCAGTTTAATGAGCCTAAAGCTAACATTTGTCCAGCCTTACAATTAGCACAGGACATTCTCTTACCAGTAGTTAAGATATCAGAGCCTGGGTATAATTTATCTGAAGAAGGGATTCATGACAGCTAAGGCAAGCATATAAAACAGGCACAAAAAGTCATTATGGCATTAGTCTTCTGGAACTATCTTTATCACCCTCTACTCTTCACCCCAGCAGTCACAAGTTGATTTTCCTTTTTCCATGTAGTTAGAAGATTTGTTTATCTTTCTTTTGCTGTGTTTTACATCAATAAAATGAAGTGCTAAAATGTGTGTGTATACATACACATTATATATATATATATACATACATACATACATACATACACACACACATATATATTCCAGCTTTTACTGGGTAAGGCTATGCCTAACAAACATGAACTGTTTTGATTATTTGGTTAAAAGATTTACATATCTATTAAGAACTTAGACCCCTTTTAGGAGATATTTGCACATAAAAGAATCAAATACAGGTAATCTAAGGGCTTGACTTTAAACAAAAGCCTTAGTAATGGGAGCCAGTACTAGTGGCTATGATGGAATCCAAAGCTGGGTGGTTGACACAGCACTAATGACAGGGACGAGATAGCAGCTAGGAATGACTTCTCAGGCAAGTGCAGACTTGGCCTTGTTATTCGAGGTGGCTCTTTACCGTAGACTGTATCAGTGAAGAAAACAGTTGAGAAAACCACCTGTGATTTTGGTCTTAGTTCCCAAGTCTCCAAAAAGAAGAAGTGATACAGATGCTGCCCGCCCCCACTCCTGCCCTGTCATTGCTTTCTCCCTGGGAAGTCCTCTAGCTGAAGGTGGCTCATGTTCCCATGGGAAAAATGACACGGGATGCAGGAACTCCCAATTTTGTTCAAGATAGTGCAACTGTGTCGCCAAGCCCTGTGGGAACGTGGAGGCTCGTGTGATATTTCTGCAGATGTGTTTATTTAGAACTCGTAGAGCAAGAGGGGCCATTTAATTAGGCTAACACGGAGGGACCGACAATACCGGGCTTTTTGGCTGAGGATGCTTCTGGGGGAGGCTGCAGAGAGCACTGTCCTGGCAGGTTGCCGATATCCCATAGAGGGCTTTGGTACTGTCAGAACACACACGGTCATAAACTCTTTGCTCCTCTCTGAGTCTCAGCTCTATTCTTTCCGTTTTTGACCTTGAACCCGCTCCTAATTCTCTGCTGGAATCTGAGGATCGCATTAACGATGTTTAGAGTTGGCTGTGAGCACTGTAAATGAGTGAGCATGTGTGATGTGTTTTGAGACGGTCAAGATGCTGCTGCTGCTGCTGCTGAGTCAGCACCACGTCCCCTTGCCCCTGCCCCATGTGTGGTGTCTTTGTTAACTGGGGCTTATTACCCCAGTTCCAGAGGACTACCAAGCGCAGTGATAAGAGCCTGTGATGTTCTGGGGTGTCCCGGGATACCCTTGACCCACAACTTTAGGGGAAGTCTCCTATACTGGCAGTGGGATTTTATTTGTTAACAATGACTTCTGGGAGAACCCAGTAGAGATTTTTGAATGTAAACCTAGACTAGATACATCCACAGTGTTGTCTCTACTGACCAGCATGCCATGTTTCTA